ACAGGGAGAATGTGCAAACTCCGACACGAATTAAACCCGGGTCCCTGGCGTTGTGAGGCAGCAGTTCTGCAGGCACCACTGAGCCACCGTGCCGCCCCTAATGTGACAGTCAGGGTGGAACGGTAGTTCAGTGGTTAGCACTGCTGCCTCACAGCGCTAGGGACCCAGGTTTAATTCGTGTCGGAGTTTGCACGTTCTCCCCGTGTCTGTGTGGGTTTCCTCCGGGTGGTCCGGTTTCCTCCCACAGTCCAAAGATGTACAAGTTGGGTGGATTGGCCATGCTAAATTGCCCATAATGTTCAGGAATGTGTAGATTAGGTGGGTTATAGGGGGATGGGTCTGGGTCGGTGCTCTGAGGTTCGGTGTGGATTTGTCGGGCCAAAGGGCCTGTTTCCACACTGTAGGGATTCTATGATTGACTGTGCAGAGTAAACTCACACAAAGAGAAATGGATCATGTGTTCTTAAGTTTTGTTTATAAATTTTGGCCGGAACATAAAAAGTAATTTCCCAGTCATTATTTGAATCAGCAAAGTCCCTATTCACTAACTGGACGATAGGGCTGCTCTCTCATTGGAGAGAGACGATTGGTGGTGGTTTAACCTGAGGGTCACTGTGCCTCAGGCGAGGGGAGGGGATGAGAAGGAGAGTCAGTCACGGTAACCTCAGTTAGTGCAGGAATTGAACCCATGCTGTTAGTGTTCCTCTGCATCACAAACCAGCCGTCCAAGCTAGCTAAGCTAACTAAAAACTAAAGGAATTGCGGATGCTGTAAATCAGGAACAAAAACAGAAGTTGCTGGAAAGCTCAGCAGGTCTGGCAGCATCTGTGAAGGGAAAAACAGAGTTAACATTTCAGGTCCAGTGACCCATCCTCAGAACTCAGAACCACTGTTTTTTTCCTTCACAGATGCTGCCAGACCTGCTGGGCCTTTCCAGCAACTTCTGTTTTTGAAGCTTAGCTGACCGACCACCACATTTATTAAATAGAGACATGGCATCAATTTAATCCACCTGAAACACCAGAATAGAATCCCAGAATCATAGAATCCCTACCATGTGGAAACAAGCTGTTCAGCCCAACAAGTCCACACCAACACTCCAAACAGCATCCCAGACTGACCCCCCCTACCCTATCCCTGTATTTCCCATGTGTAACCCACATAACCCATACAACCCTGGACACTATGGGCAATTTAGGATAACCAATCCACCTCACCTGCACATCTTTGGACTGCTTCACTTCATAGTGTCCATAGCTTCACTTTAATGTCTTAAAAACAGAAGTTGCTGGAAAAGCTCAGTAAGTCTAACAGCACCTGTGAAGATATGTAGGTGCTGGTGTTGGGCTGGGGTGGACAAGGTTAGAAGTCACATGACACCAGGTTATTTTCCAACAGGTTTATTTGAAACCACAAGCTTTTGGAGCCTCAGTCCTTCATCAGGTGTTAGTGAGAGAGGGAGTATCAGACACAGAATTTATAAGTAAAAGATTAAAGGGTCACACCACTGATGAGGATGTATTAAACAAACTTAAGATGCTGTTAAATCTTTAATCAGTTAGAAGGTTTTATTTGATTAATATACATATGTAAATCCCCAAATTCCTTTCAAGTCACAGTCTTGAGAACTAAAGGTTTTATCAGTGTAAAGAAGAGGTGACATTTCAGGTCAGACAATGACATATTAGCTCATATTAGGTGTGAGACCTTGTTTAGAACCTGTTTGTGTTTTAGTTTGGAGTTAGACTGGTTTTATTTCTAAAGTAGTAATTTATAAAAACACTGCATTGACTGACCGATTATGAATTGTGTTGTGCTTTTAAAAAAAATGGAATGTATCTGTAAATACAAATTCACTGCATAGATTTACGTGTGTGTATGTGAGAGAGAGAGAGAGGGGTGAGAGAGAGTGAGAGTGTGTGTGTGAGGTGGGGGGACAGCATCTGTGAAGGGAAATCAGAGTTAATGTTTCGGGTCTGGTGACACTTCAACAGAACTGATGGTAGCTAGGAATGTTGGTTTATATGCAGAAGGTGGGGGCAGGGGTCAGGAGTAAATGATAGGTGGGGACAGAGCCAAAGAGAAAGAAGAGCAGTTGGGTAGACAAACGAGGTGATAAAGATCTGGCTGGGAGGGTAAATATGAGATAACAAGGTGTACAGCTGGATGAACACAGCAGGCCAAGCAGCATTAGAGGAGCAGGAAGGCTGACGTTTCGGGCCTAGACCATTCTTCAGAAAATTTGTTAATGGGGACTGTCACTGACTAACAACAGGGGGTGTGTAGTGGCAGGCTATGTGGTAACAAGGCCTGGTGTGTGAGGTGGGGGGCTGGGACATGGGAGAGTTCAGGCCCTAAAATTATTGAGCTCAATATTGAGTCTGGAGGGCTGCAGGGTCCCCAAGCGGAAAATGAGGTGTTGTTCTCCCA